CTCTTATCAATAGAAATTTCTAAAAATCTCTGTCTCATGGTAGGGGAGCCATTCGCCTGCCATTAAGCTTTGTTGTCTATTTAGTAGGCAGTTGGGTGGAAGTGACTGGTGTGGTTCTTGGAGTGGAGGAGTGAAAGGTCAGCAGAGGCTTAAATGAGCTTGTCTTACATCCAGCTGGGCCAGCAGGTGGTCATTAGGAAGATCGGAGGCTCACTTTAGGCTTGACGGAGTCTCCCCATGATTCTAGGAGGCTGTTTTGCTCATTGCTCTTCTCCCAATATATAAAAAGAACCCCAGAGACAGGAATGACACCGAAGTTTATCTTACTACCAAAGTTTCGCTTGAGGAGGGCACAACTAGCACTTCCTGAGAGGGAATTTATTTTGTTTGTTTGCCTGTGATGGAAAGTAATGGAGATAAGCACAAAAGACCTATTGATCTGTTGGCTCTATTGTGAAACCAAATAGAGGAACCGGGAGAAAAAAAATCTCTCACTGAACGTTTAAAAGTCAGAGGACCTGCAGAATTTCATTACATAAAAGAATTTTGGAAAAGGAGGGTTGCAGTTTGATTGGCAAAAATGCAGGAAATGAAATAGATGGCTGATACCTTAAAATGTTCTCTTCATGTACCTGGAGAGAATTAACATACTATCTCTGACGGCTAATTATATTAGGGCAAATACACTAATAGTTATCTTGAATTGGTGCTAAGTGGCTCATTTCTTGGAGGTATTGCCTAGTGAAATCATGTGTATTTATTGAAACTCTCTCCTTAGAAAAGTTCTCTGTAAGTTTCCAAACATAGAGGATGATGGGAAAAAAAATGGATGTTGCTGCTGGGAAGGTGATAACAGGAGGCAGGTAGCATGTTTTCGCATCTTCACCTCTGTTGTTAATGTATGCAGTGGCTCATCAAAAGTAACTCATGTTAATTTATTCCTGCACACCTGTACAGGGCTGGAAGTCAGGTAATCAGACAAGCAAAAACTATATATCTCTGCGTTTGAGCCACAGCTACCCAGAGGCCTATATACGAACAAATTTAGTTCTGGAGACATCAGCAGGTTTTAATAAACCAAATACAGATGTCTTACTCCACACAAATCAAGAAGTTTACATGTTTAAATCTGGACTGATTTAACTAGTACGGAGAAGGTTCACACTTGGCACCAATGGTTGCCTCATATTTATTTATAAATCACTCTAAGCAAATATTATTTTGTTTTCAAATTTATTCAGGGGGCTGAATCATCTTTCCTACACCTTGAAGATCTATGCTTACATTTGATAAAATTTAAGACAAACTTTGGCAATTAGTGGCCACTGTTCTCAGAGGAGGAGAGAGACAAAGATGGTGAAACTCATGGAAGATGAAAAACAAAGAGATAAGTGTTTCTTTACATGCGGACCATCTAGTTTCTGGTAGAAAGTCTTCATTGTAGTTGACAGAGTTTTAAAATTGCCAATTACTAAAATCGATGTAAACAGATTTTAACATATTAGCAAATGATAAGGAATTTTAGGGAAGAGGACAGAGGATGTCTGTTTTCTGAATAAAAACCAAATGTAATTTATAAATGGGCTTTCCTTAAATACAGGTGGCCTGAGGGTGTCAAAATTCAAGTCAGAGGATGACAGTATGACCAAAGGCAAACAAGGCCAAGTGAGTTCTGACCATGACACTGGTCTTCAAGAAAATTTCCCTTATGTGGGCTATAGGTTCTAGGCCAGTTAGTTATAATTTCTTCTTCCTAGGGAGTAGTTCATGTGTATACTTCAAAACTGAGGGCCACCTTCCTGTTCCCTGACAGAATAGTGTCTTAGTAGCGGGGGGAAAAAAAAAATCATGGGATAAACCAGAAGGAAGAAAGGGTGTTTAGAAGCTTTCAGGAGTAGCACTACACAATGTCATCAGTATACACTTAAATATTTCAGCAATCACCTTATAGTATCCTAGTTCTTTACAGAGAAAATCATTTACATTTCACTTCTATACCCAGAATAAAAATTATTCTAACAGCCACCTAATGACTGGGTGACTCGGACTTTGTGGTTATTAGCTGGCTCTTTGTCATCAGTGCAGAATGGTCCCCTCTGCTTTTGAATTTATTAAACTCAAACTCATTCACAGCTGTATAAAAAAAGTTATCTTAAACACTGCTTAGAATACTCAGCCCTCACAAACCTTGTGTGTGACCCCCCTGTTTCTCTTCTCCCTTTCTGCTGACTTTAGACAAAGAACATTCTTTCTGTTTCAGAAAGCCTTTGACTTGATCTTATAAAACCTAGAAGGACCATCAGCAAAGACCTGGAAATCTCTGTTAACAAGCTGCCAAGTCTAAAACACAGTATTTAACATCTTTCTAGTTTCATCTGATTAACATGCGTATCTAGAGACCAAAAAATGTCACTCCCTCGTGTATAACCATCTTGGAAGAAGCCCAAGAAGACCTGTGTATCACTCCCGTATGGTGTTGTGAGCCCGAAGATAAGAAGGCTGTTTCCATAAACAGAAGGACAAGGGTTATTCTGTTAGTTTTATCACAGGCATCCAAGAAACCCTTACACACTTCAGCCCCCACTAAAAATCCCTTCTAATGCTTTATTTGCACAAAGAAGACATTGTGGTGTCAAGGATGGATGAATCGAGACTCTGGGGAGAGGAAAGAAGTGGGCCTGAGGACAGCAGGATTAAAAAAGGCAAAAAGGATGGCTTCCTACGGAAACCGTCCAGATGGAGGTTCTGCTGGCTCAGAGAAAGGTAAAAAACCCCTGCCTTCCCTACATAGTGAACTGAAAAGAATAAAAGTGGGGACACGAAATTCCTGGGGTTCTCGTGACTAATACAGTAAAAGTAAAGAGAAAGGGGAAGGTAAGTCTAAAGGTTAGATCAGAGATGGGATCCAAGAGGCTTGGTGAATAAGGAGGTTAAATTACAGGTCGACATTAGTTGATGAAATGATGATAAAAGGCTGAAACAGGAATAAAGTTATTTTGAATCCACTCTGCTGGGATGCAAGGAGAGGCTGGCACCCCAGTGGCATCACTGTTTCTGGTTGCTTGGTGGTAACTACACTTGGGTCATATATTAATTCAAGTCATAGACTCGATAAGGATGGACATTTTTCTTCTTCAAAAAATGCCAAAATTGAAGTACCAGAGTTTTTGTTACATTTTTAACCTGGGATCAAAATACTTGAGTATTCTTGAAAAGCAAAATTTCAAGTGAGAATCCAAAAAGTTTCTTTGTACAGTATTTTTTTTTCAATTTGCTTTTCTTCATTTATCATGTGTGAGAAAACGCCAGAATTAAAAAGATTGGGTGTGATGTGATATTTTACCCAAATGAAATGTATCCACCTGTCTTTTGAGGTTCGCCATCTCCTATGAGACTGAACACACATGGGAGAAGAATATCAGTACTATCCTTCCCACCTGGAATATCCTAGTTATCCTGGACAATGGTCTAAATTCCCACATGGCTGGTCACCTACCAAGTTCTCAATGGAGACTGAAATATTCACCTGTCAATAAATATTGTTTCCTTAGAAAAACCACCATCTCAACAGTACCTGCTTATGTACTAGGACATAAAAACACAAGTGACATAAATGAAAGCGCCGAGCTTTGGGTGTTATAGCCTTTTGGTCTCAGAGTCATTTATTCCAGTGTTATGACTTGCAATATTTTCAGCAAACCAACTAAAACTGTGATAGGAATTCATGCAAATAAGCTTAAATTTTGGCTTGTCTTCAAACACTCCATTTCCATAAATATTTTATGCAAGTTTTCATGAGTCTTTTATTTTTGTTAAAAAAAAAGTCCAATGCATTAACCTCATTATCACAAGTGCACTATTTCAAATTTAAAAGAACGAATATTACTCACAAACTTAGGGAGAGAGAGGTTGGGTGTAGTATTATATTTTATTATTCAAAGTGTAGCCATCTAATCTGCCATATTCTGGGACTGTCAATGCTAACTCAAAACTGAAAAGAACTTTGTGACTATAAACCATTTTTTATAGAAAAATGTAAATGGGAGTGGCGGAGAAGGGATTAAGGAGGGGAAAATTTTAAGATAGATTTCTCTTCAAAGCAATTTTTGAGTTGTATAAAGAAAGGCACTTATTTTTCTCAGAAATTTTGCTTTTCATGGATTGGGTCCCTTGTACTATACTTCGCTATAATAGGAAAACAATTTTTTTAAGCTTTTATGTTAAAAAAAAGACGAATCTTTTCTATATGAAGACAAAACAGAATATTCTAGAAGCAAGTCACTGCTTTTCTGTGGTACTTTCATTGCATGTTACTTTGTCAAAGAACTCTCCAAAATTGATAAGCACTAGAATTTGGGTGGTGGCTATTTGGAAGCTTCCTAGTTAAATTTGTTTTCTTCTACATACATTGATTTTTACCATGTAATAAAATTTTCTCTAAAAAATATTTTTTAAAGACCATGTAAAACCAAAAACCCCGGTCCAACATGAAGAATTAACTGGTGTGTGACTCTAGCTGGGCTGGTGTATTATGTAAGGGATCTATCTGCTCACAAGCTCATCTCCCCAAGTATAGGACAACTGTGGTACCCCAACACTGACCACCTTGACACATTCCATTTCTATTACATTTTCCTTAGGACTGAAAAAGAACATTGTAGGTTTAGGACCAGCTGCTTCTGTTTAAGCCCAACTGTTTCAGAGCTGCAGCTACATAGCTAAGGTGTGATGTCATCTGAAGGCTGGACAGAATATATTCTCAGTAATCCTAAAAGTATATGCATGCCTCCCATCCTGAACATAATTCCCATGATAGACTACATTTTAGAGATGTGCTCAAAGACATTGTGAAGGTAGAATAAAGAAACCCACACCGCCATACCATCTCCCCATATTAGCAATCACTTTGGTCCCATTTTCTTTGGATATTTTCATGACTCTTAAAGAATTCAAGGACAGACTAAATAGTCATGTAAGAATGATAACATTTCTGGTTATACCTACGGAGATGCAGGCTGTCTCGATGTCCTGGACCTATGGTTCTTTCCATCCGTAAATTTCTGTTTCTATATTGGATAAATATGTGTGTATGAAGATAATATATTGATTTAATTAAAAAGCCACAAGGCAAAGCAGAAACACCTATAACAGAAGCTGCGGCTTCTACGTGAAGGTTCATGGGGGAAGCAGGGAACTGTGTACATAGTTCACTGATTCACACACCTAGATGCATGGAAAAACACACACACACACATCCACAGAGCACAGAGAAAAATGGCGTGCATTACTGGGTAAGATGGCGTATGACTCTGCATGCTGAATCATGACAAGCACCAACTGCAACAATCCTTCATGAGCATGGCAGCTTGGTTATCTTGTGGTCACTGAGGACAATCTTTACAGTGCATCCAAAACATCCGAAGTTGGATTTTTTTTAATGTTAAAGTCCAACAAGACTGGCACCCACCACCCCCAGCAGGAGCAGCCAATGGAGATTTACTGACCTGTCTCTGCTTCGGCGAGAGGGGAAGGCAGCATTGCAGCCAGCCACCGTGCACACGTGCATCTCTTTTAAGTGAACGTTCCTGTAGTGAAGCTTCACGCTGTAGGAGCTTTTGAAACTCTTCTTGCACACGTAACAGATTTTGGGGTCTGGGCTAGAACACAGGTCCCCTTCTGGGGAGAACTTTTGAGGGCTGCCGTAATTCAGAGATGATGCAAAGCTTTCGTGCAGGGCTGCCATGCTGGCTCCCCCACCGTTGTACAGTCCGTACTGGCTCATGTAAAACATGTCGTAAGTGGGATCTGTAAATTCTTCCTTCACCTTGATGACGTCCTGGTGAGAGGGCTCGCTGTGGTTCTCGTCGGGCCTCTCACTGTTCATCAGGACTTTCTCACTCACTTCGCCATGGAGGTGCTCATCCCCTTCCATGGATTCCTCCCCTAGTTTGGGCTCTGAACACTCAGACTCGTTCTCATAGTCCCGCTCCGGTTCTTGGTCCTCAGAAGTCATGCTGTCGGCTCTTCTGATTTCAGTCCTTGAAATGCACCGGGACCTGCTATGCTTAGAAAAGTCCTTCACCGACATGCCTGGACTCATCTCCTCTTGGGAGTGGCAATGATTGTCATGGCTCACGTCATTGACCCCAGCACCCGTGTCATGGGGGTCATCGTCTTCATCGTCAAACTCATCAGCGGTGTCAATAATTTCCTTCTCGATCTTCACAGGCATGCTGGACTTCCTGGGCTTCTTCTTAGGGGCCAGGTCGGCGCTGGGCTCATGAGTGGCCATCATGACTACTGGCACTGCTGGCTCAGAGGGTGGTGCGGGGTGCTGCTCCATGGTACCACTGGTGGGGATGATGGGGCTGGTCGGGAGGGAGGTGGGAGGGCTCACCATTTCCCCTGGAGCGAGTAAACTTCTATAAAACGGAGGAACTGGCTGGACAGTCTTTAGCCCAGAAAACACCAGCTGGCTAGGGAGAGGGGTCTGTAAGACGGGGTCTAGTGGGGGAGTGGTAAAACCCATTGGGGGCCGGCCAGGGCTGGTGAGGGTGAGATTTGATTTTGTACTTGCTATGACAGGGGTGGCAGCTCCTGACGTGGCCCGAATTAAATCCTTGTCTCGGTTATTCCTTAGCATAGGCATGTGAAGGCGAGGGTTAGGGTTTGCACTGTGGCGATTACGGCTTCGGAGGGAGCTAAAGACCATGTTGCAACCTTCGATGGTACACCGATGCTTGATCTTCAGGTGCACAGCATTGTAATGGATTTTGAGAGTACCTTTATCATAGAATGTCTTCCCACATGCGTTACAGAACACTCTTCCTTTCCTAGAGGCTGACCCCATCCTTCTCATCCGGTGAATCCGGAAGGAGCTTTTTGGGTGTTCAGTTTTGGTCAGATCACTGACCGGGGCAGAATTCAGAATCGGGGACACGCAGGCTGGCTCGGTTTTGGGCTCCACATTGGTAATGCTGGTCAGGGCGTTTCTGTTGGGCGTCTGATCGTTCTTGTAAGGTGTGGGTGATACCTCAGACTCGCTACTTTCGTTATATTCATTCTGGGTGGAAAGGCTCGGTTCCCGCAGCCTCAGTCCTGGTTGCTCTAACAAGAGCCCGTTTGGAGGCAATCCTAGCAGTGGGGCTGAGACGGGGTTTATGTACTGGAATGGAAGCAGAAACGCAAGGCTGTTGGGGATGTTTTCAAAGTGATGAATGCTGGAAGGGTTGCTGTTCTCTAGGTGAGCAAGGAGGCTGGGACTTCTGGTGCGATTATTGCTCTCAATGAAAGTCCTGATGTCTGAGTCTGTCTTTGAAGATGGTACAGCCACGGCCTGCCCTTCTTTCTCCTGAATTGCCATCAGCTCGACAATGGATTTGGTTTCTCCAAACCGCAGAAACTGCTGAAGGGTGATGATTTCCTCTTCTCGAGACATGATGGCCCAGCGGTCCAGCACCTTGCCGGCAGCATCCTAGAGGCCACATCAAAGAAACAACAAAGACAAACACAAAAACTTATTGATTGTGCATAATTATTCATCGCAACTGAAGGTGCTCATGAAACACCGAGAGTGAGAGCAGAAAACAACATGCAAACACTGTTAATAAAAGTCGACCCACAAAGCAAACTTTTCTGCCATGCAAATGTAGTAATTAGAGTCACAGTTAGGGAAACAGATTGAGTTTAATAATGTCAAAACAAACAAAATGGAGACCACTGGGGCTCTGTGAGCTAAAATGCCTTCACGACTGCTATTTTAACAACAATGGCCTATGTACTATGCAACTGTTTAACATACATTAGTACAAGACGTGAACTCTTGCTGTGCAACCCAGTATAAATGCAAAATAAAAATGGTACTTTAATCCTTATTAAATAATGACACCATAGGAAGGAATTAAGTCCATTTTGTGAATTTTACTTCTTCAACACAAACAGACATGACACTGATTCAATGATGACAATTCTTTTAAATAGGAGCTATCATCACATGAATTTCTAAATAAAAAAGATGAATAAAGTAGCATTACCTTCTCTTCTCTACCCCCATTACTAAGCGATATTTTAATTTTTTTAATGGCTGTACTCTAGTGTCATTTCATAGAGGGCAATTTCATAAGATAGAGTAAGGAAAACCAGTAATTGTACTTCTCCAGAAAATTGATTGTAATCCTATGATTCAAAGTTTGAGTTAGGCTTAAAGTATTTGACTTTTATGATCTTGCTATAAATGACAGTTACAGATATTTAGAAAGTAAACATGTGATGGATTTAGATAGAATAAAGGTGTAAAAATGTTGTCTCTTAACATCCTCCTCTGATAGCAAAGGGAGCCCACAGAGAATACACATCAGTAATCACCAGACTATGTGTTGTTAAATATACATTAAAAAGCATTTCATACTTTCATTTTTGCTAGTAACTATGAGATTTGCCTGGAGGTAGGACTTAAAAACCCTGCAATGCAATGCCAGGCAATCCATTTCAGGATGGATTGAGAGAAATCTATTCAAACACTTAAATAATGGCTCCATCATTTTCTAGGGCCCGGCTTCCTCCCACCACGGACAGGACACTTGGCAACCTTCTGTGCACGATACTTGCTCCAACCCTGACCATCAATTGAAGAAAGCGTAAAATCTTAAAACAGAAAGATACTTATTATTAACAAAGAGAAAAATCATAACTTTACAACGAAGAAACCTAGCAGGCACCACCTTAACCAAGGGGTCGAAGTTAACAGGACCAGTGGTCAGTGCTGTCACGTACCTACTCATAGACGTACTGAGAGGGCACATTATTCTTTTTTTTTTGTGGTAGAAAACATCAAGCAAACCCAAATTGCAGGGCATTCTACAAAATAGTGGCTGGTATTTTTCAAAACATAAAGTCAGGAAAGAATTTTTTTAAGAAGACCAAAGAATAGTTATAGATTGGAGGAAAGTAAGGAAATAGGACATATAAACGTAATGTGAAATCCTAGAGATCTTAGTCCAGAAAAAGGACGTTAGTGGGAAAAGTGGTAACATTTGAACAGAGTCTCTAGATTAGTTAATAATATGGTATCAGTCTTAATTTCTTGGTTTTAACAAATGTACCATGCTTATGTCAGATGTTCCATGAGGGGGAGCAGGATAAAGAGAACTGGACTCTTTTCAGAATGGGGAATCCTCTCTCATAGACAGTTCTACTCAGCCTGGCGATATAAAATTCTCTCTGGACCACAATAATATGGTCTGAATTGTGACGACTAGTCTGATTACAAGGAGATACTTGTCATTTATTGAAATTACTTAAAAAAAGATGCTCTGATAGGTATGTGCTATTCCTTATAAGGCTCAGTCCTAGCATTCTATTAATTTACATAAAGTCTTTGTGTGGGTGTGTGCGTGGGGGGGGCCATTCTTAAGTGAACTGTCAAACACAGATGTCCCTCCCTCATCTTATAGACAAAAGTAGCCTTCAGATAAAATGCTCTCATGCAGCTATCTGCTTAGAATAGTCAATATAATGATGTGTGTATATATAATGAACCTGGGGTCCTGCAATAGCCATTAAAAAAAAAGAAAAGTATCACTCATAGCAATTGGTCTACCTTATATAGCTTTTTCTGAATAGGACAAGAAAACGGAGTGTGTTGGTACTGTAGACAAATAGAGAAATTTTAAATTGTGATTTTGTCTAGATTATCTCATTTGAAACTCCTAATAGCTTCCAGAGCTCAGCAAATGTTTAACAGATGAGAAACCAGAGGTGAAGAAAGGTGATACAGCTTGTTAAGGTTGCCAAGATGCTAACTTGGGGTCCAGGACTTGAACCCAGAAATGTTGACTCCAAATACACTGAGCACAGTGGCTGCCATGCCACAATGCCATTTCCCAGGGGAGCACGCTGAGCTTGGGATACCAAGGAGTAGGACTTCTCTTGAACAAGGCTGGTCTCTAGGGCACTGTGAGGTCATCTTGTACGCCATTTTCCTTTTACCATCAAATCCACGCTCTTGATTGTTCTTTTATAAAGCCTTTCATTACGAATTGTTTCTCAGGCTGAAACCCGACCTGAGCAGCAGGCAGTCCTCTTTCTTCCTCAGGCTCTTCCCAGGTAGCCTGCACCAAAATCTGCATGTGCATACTGTACTTACATAGCTGCCGGCCTCTGGTATTACAATAGGCCTTAGGAACCATAGCAACTGATCAAACCCACCTGAGGCATCTCTTTTCCATCACCCTCTTGTCTTCCTGCATCCAGCAGTGCATAGCAGTCCCATCTGGTTTCTCTTTTCTCCTGGCCGGTCATAATGCCTGCTGCCATTTCTGAAACCACTACCTTTCAGACTCTCTTAGTCCTCAGTAACTGTCTCTGCTACAATGGAGACTGTTATGTTAAACTACTTACTTTTGGTGGAAGAGGTCCAGGTAAGCAAGATTTAGAACGTTGCCGGTAGCCTGAGTCATAGAAGAGAAGCTTCATTTATAGGGGTAAGAGAAGCAGTGATTCATACTCACACAGAAGGTCAACATCGCATCCTTGTACACAAATGTGCTTGGGAACAGGACAAATATCTATACTGCACCTTCAAACTGGAGTCCCCCTGACAGGGCACCCCCTGAATCCAGGCTCTACGAAGTGCCACAGAAGTTCTTTCCAAACAAGCTGTCATTCGTATTTGATGAAGATAATCGAATACCATCATGTTCATACATGATGAAACTGCAGCAAGAGACAAAGTGGAACTTCTTAGCCACATAATCAGTCTGCAAGCTCCATGCTGGGAATGGCTATCAGTTTGAGTGTATTCTTGGATAAACTGGTTGAAGGGATTTAGAAATCATCAGAGGGGGCCGGCCGAGTGGTGCATTGGTTAAGAGCTGGCTTGGGACGCCAGAGGGCCCCAGTTTGGATCCCACATATAAGGGCCAGTGACACTGCCCTCTACAGCTAAGATGCTGAACAACAGCTCAACCTGGAGCTGGGCTGCTGGTAGTTGCCGGCGACGGTGTAGGCTGCAACCCCTGCTGGAGTGGGTTGCCATGGGCTACCGTGTGTAGCCAGCAGCCAGCGTGAGCGGCCAGCAGCCGCTGTGAGCAGCCGTCCAGAAGCCGGCGACTGATCTGCCTCACCC